CAGGTTAAAGGCCCTAGCTCTTGCAGAGCTGCCTGCCTCTGTAAGAAAGGAAGAAATAAAGTGGGGGTGGGGGGGGAGGCGGCAGGCAAGAGTCTGTACACATGGGAAGCTGCTTTCAAGGTGGCTCCCCATGCATATTGACTCCCATGGAGCCACCTGCCCCTTGTACTGCTGCCTCTTTATTGCTGGCTCCCCGTGAGCACCAGCTCCTGCCTGCCCTCCCTGCCTGCATGTAAATGTGTAACCACTTAAAAATCCAGTGGTTACACATTTACAAAAATACACATTACTTAATATGCCTAATAAATACCATGATTTTTTTATAGAATCTTGGAACTTAAAACTCTTAAATTCTGTACCCAGGGCAGTCTGCCTATTTTCCCTTCTTCTTCCACACTCTATAAAACTGAACCTAGTTCAGTTATATGGGAGTAAATATTGTAACTGGTTTTTGTGCTGTTGTTGCTGTGCTTGTGTTTAATATTCTATATATTATAAAGATGGTAAATCTAATCTAGGACATAATCCTGCACTGGCCGAAAGGGGAATGGATAACATGGGATGTAACAGTTCATTTCCATCTTAAACCTCTGTGATGCTTGGCATCTGAAATTAGTTTGCCAGCCCTGTGCTCCATTTATGCTTTTCATCACACAGACACAGTCATCTGTACCAGTAAGTGGGATCCTAACTGGAATTACTGTTCAAACGTGTCGGCTGGGACAATGATGTCTTAAGTCTTCTCCCATTGACTTCAAAATACAGTAGTAGAGTTAGTGGAATGCTGAGTGCTTTTGAACTTCCCACCCATACTGTATATGGTGGCTAGACTACTTGAGCTATTGGATTTCTCACAACTTTTAATTCTCTATTCATTTTTCCCTGCGGGAACTAATAGCACTCTATCTTTACTTGGCATTTCCCACAGAAGTATTGATTAGGTCTCACTAATTAACAGTGGTTTTGCCTTCAAGCTTGATAAGTTTTATTGCTCAGCCACTGGAAATTTTATTCTGGTTGATCCTTCTTTTTAAATCAGACTCCTGCTTCTAAGTCTAATGAGGCTTTTAATTTTCTGTAATATCCTATTCAGTGAGCATAGTATTAGACAGAAGGTATATTTTTATTAGACAGACATAGTTTGCCATTGATTTTTAATGATAGCAGATGAAGATTTGGTTTGTTTTTTCCAGCAAATTTATATTCTTAAGCAATATATTACTGTGGAAATGAATGTAATCAGCATTACTAGAAGAAAAAGGCTTTTAGTAACATGCGATTTCTTATTTGTAGGATGATGTTAACAATCAAAAGTGTTTAGTCAGGATTGATGCCCCATTGATTTTAGATATATTTTCACATATTCTATAGACAAAGAATATAAGTAGTGTTAGCATTTGTTTATCTTATAAAACAAGTATGAATTTTTGAAGACATTAATCATGCTAGAAATAATTAAATACAAAATACACCATGGTAGGAAGACAGAGGTTTGAGAACTGAGAATTATTTTCAGTGAATTAAACTACAATTCTGGATATTTTTTGAATATTTCCAGAAAACTTGAGTATGGAGTTCCAATAACTTACATAGATTTGGAGAAGTACAATACATTTGATGAATAATACATTTCCATCAAATACATCTGAGAAAATTCACATGGTACACAGGAAATCTAAATTTAAAAAAGAAAGCATGTAACTATACCTATGCTCTAGTGTGTGTATGTATTCTATATATAATCCACATAATATAATAATCCTTTTCCTTTTTGGCTGAACTTTAAATGTGTCTTTATCCATTTCTTATACTTTTGTTAATTAACCATGGATATCAGTAAGACCACATGCCTAGACATTAAGTTGAGTATCTAAAATTAGGCATGTTACATTCTGTAGTTGGTGGACTGGGTTTCAATACTCTGGTATTCATTGAGGAGACATCACAAGCACAGGGAGACTGCAGCAGTAAGTGACTGTAGATACATGTATATCTCTAGATGCGGGTTTTTTTGTATGTATAGAAATAATTTGCTTGCCCTTTATTTGGTGTGTTTTTTCCGTTTACTACATTTCAAAATGTTAGTCAGTCCAATCTGGCAGCCTGGATTTTAACTTATGCCTATCCTAATTGTAGATAATAACATCTATAGATAGGTAGAGAAAAGCTGTTTTTTCCCTTCGTTATCTTTGTCAGTTTCGACAGTTTTGTATGGATCTAATGTTTCTTTTGTTTGATTTCTAATAGAGCTTAAAACGAAGATGGCATCATATCTGTATGAATGCCTTTGTGAGGCAGAACTTGAAAAATATTATCCTCAGTTTGTTGCTCTTGGTCTTCAGAGGATAGATGAACTAGCCAAGATTGCCATGAAAGATTATACCAAACTAGGGGTCCATAACATGAATGATCGCAAACGCCTGTTTCAGCTCATTAGAATTATCAAAATTATGCAGGAAGAAGAAGAAAGAGTAGACATGACCAAACAAGATTTGCAACCATGTGACCTCTATGTCCAACCTCAGGTGACCAAGGCAGGTCCTCGTAGACAGCTACGTTTTGAGTCTCTCTTTGAGAAAAAGGATGGAACAATTAAAGACTGTGAACTTGCATTGCACAGTTTGCCTGAGATTTGTGCTAATGAAGAGAAGGAAAGTTTGGTGGAAATGTTAGGACATGTTCTGCCAGAGGACTCAGAGGACAATAAAATAACCAGAAGAGACATCCTGAATGCTCCAGGAATGTGCACGCAAAATGAACTGGGCTGTCCTACAACATATTCCTCAAATAATATTGCCCCTCTTTTGGGAGATTCTGAAGCTCCCGTCATACAAAGAGTAACTCATATTTCCGGATATAATTATGGACTACCTCATTCTTGTGTCAGGTAATAACCATTAACTTTTATTTCACTGTGTTTGGGGTCAATTGACAAGGTTAATCACTTCTTTAGGAGTTTGAAAAAGAAGCTTCTTCATAATTCTAAAGGAGCATTATGTATAACTAGAAACAAACAATGTACAACTTCTGCAAGGGTGATGTAAAATCCTGGGGAGAAGGAAACATTTACTAACACATGGGACTTTCCAACATGGGTGGAAGGATTCAATTCAATTCACCAGCTACTGTTTACTGGAATTGGTTAAGAATAAGCTTTAGTATCTTTCAATGCTTATGCTTTTGTTTTGCGTTTCTTCTGGTCAGTTTCTGATATTTCTCAGTATAAACCATCTTACATAATTAACTGTTTTTCACAAAAAATCCAGGCTGATATCAAATTGTCACAAGTTTTCCCTAATAAAAGCGACCTACATTACAGTGGATATAGTTTTTGGTAAAAGAGCTCCCAAGCTATCACTTTTAAAAGACACTGAATAAATGTAATGTTTATGAAAATAAGAACTAGTTGTATTTGCTTAGGCTGGGCAGAGTGCAGGTAAGTACTGTATAAACATCACTT